TCGATTTATATAAAATAGTTTTGTTGATATTCAAATTTAAATTGGATTTAGTTAGTTCGTGACTTTGATGTTTTGAATTCTATTATTTCTTTTTCAGCCGCCTGCTAAACTGGTCCCTGTTCCATCAGGCTTAAACCTGCGTCCGAAAACTTTGCCGAAGAATGAGGAAGTTCGTAGGAACAAGATCGCCGCGATCGAAGCCAAACTGGCAGAGATGAACACACCTGACTTCGAAAGTGGACCATGTAGAGCACGCTTTTTTCTCTGCAAGCCTGCAAGAGAAGAAAGATCATTTTGTCATGCAAATACCAAATTGATGGTGCCTCCGAACCCATATGAAAAGTATTTAAATGTCAGAAAAGAGAAACCGCATGGCACCGGTCGCCGAAAAGTCGTCTAACGCTGTCTTCCTGTCCTCAATTGACGCTGTTGTAACCTCATACTTACCAAAGAAAGGAAGCCTGAAGCGCAAGCGGACTACTGGTCAAAACATTCCGTAGTTTTTGTTTCAACTATATTTAATATCCGGATGTTTGTCATTTTTGATCATTGCTTAAACCGACAACGAGAAAATGTAAACGTCCCCCTGCATTCACTGCATATTTTGTTTCAACCTCGATCAGAAGAAAAATCCAATAGTGGTACATTTGTGTTAAGATTCATGGTGTGGCAACAAAGCATAAGCGACCTCGTTCAATGTTTTCCCACTGTTAAATTTATGCATTTTCATTGCGCGATTCCAGAGCTGAGTAAATTTGCAGTTAATACAGTATAGTTGAAAGTAATCACATTTTTGTGGGGCGTGATTTACGTTCCTGCCTTACCTAGAAGTGGAAGGTAACAATCTCTGACAAGAATTTTTTGCCGTGCAGATGTCGGTTTTAGTTCAGTAGCGTATAGTACATTTTATTATGGTTATTGCTTTGCATGTGACGAACGTAGTTTTGGGTTGCAGATTGATTTAAATAAAGACTATTTGCTCTTTAGAAGATTGCTAATATTTCGTGGCCGTTCCGGCTTCACTACATAAATTCGATTACGCTAGCGGTTTGTATTTTG